TAAGAATAAAAGGAGAAAGAAACAAAAGTAATATCCTTATGGAAGTTTATTACAGACCTTCTGGTCAAACAAATGTGGATGAAACTGTTACATGTCAGAAGACTGAACTTTCAAAAAGTGATGATGGGAGATTTCAATTCTCCTCATATGTACTGGAAATCTAGCTCCACTAACCACCAGAGATAGAACAAATTCCTATCTTCTTTTGCTGACAACATTTTTCAGAAGGTAGAAGAAGGAACAAGAGATCTGCTATTCTGGACCTAACTGGCACACAACATGGAGTTGAGCAAAGGCCCTCCGAGCCACGACTGCCACCTGCTCCTCAAGCAGGACTTGTCCATCTGGAACAGTGCAATCCCACCCAGGACCAAAGATGATAAGTCCCCAGATGCAGAAGAGCTCCACACCCACAGTCACTCCATCTTACCAGGGTTCAGTTGAAGCCTGGTGTTCCCCCTCCAGACCCCTACAGCCTCCAAGCGTTGCAAAAGAGCATCAGCAGCATTACTTAGTTCACCTGGGGTGGAGATGTACAATTGAGTATTATGTTATCCTTGAAATCAGGATATCAAGGAGAGGAGGAATAGAGAAATGTCTATTCTAGGCTGAATTTCAGAAACTCTGATGGAAGATTTGTCAGATCCTATGGCTTGAAATTCTAAGGGGAAAAGTGTCCTGGTAGGATGGGAAATCCTGTGAAATGAGATACTGAAGGGACAATTTCAAACAATCCCTACAAGAAGAAGAAATAGGGGACATCTAAAGAGACCAATGTGGATATGGTCTTTCTAAATTATTGAATGAAAAAGAGTCATGTCTAGGAAATGGAAGGAGGAATGTGTTAACCAAAAACAGATACAGGACAGCCATCAGAAGCCAAAGGGAGAATGTCACGCAAAAGAGCAGAATGAACTGAGGTTTGTGAGAAATACCCAAACAACAACAACAAAGGCTTTTCTGGACATGTCAGGGGAAAAAAAGGAAAGGTAAAGAGGCTGTAGGTGTTTTGTGTGGAGGAAGGGATGAACTGATAATAGGTGATGACAAAAAAGAGAGAACATCTTTATATATGTGTGTGTGTGTGTGTTATTAAGTGTTCCACAAAAGTTAAAATACAGAAAAATCAAGAAATGACAAATTGAAATGAGTTCACAGGAGGGCTACCAAAGCGGGGGCTGGAAACCAAGCCCTGTCAAGAGTAGTTAAAGGAACTAGGTATATTTAGCCTGCAGAAGAGATGAATAAGGGCAGATATAATAGCAGCCTTCAAATATCTAAATGGTTGCCATATAGGAGGGGGAGGACTCTCTTGCCCCAGAGGACAGCACCAGAATAGATGGACAAAACCTGATTCAGTTTTGACATTAGGAGAAATTTCCTGACAGTAGTAGCTGTCAAGCTGTGAACTAGATTGTCTCATGAAGTGATTTATTCTTCTTCACTGGAGTCTGTCAAACAGAATCTAGATTGCTCTCAGTCTAAAGAGCTTTAGCAGAACTTGCACTGAGCAGAAGGTTGGACTAAAAGATCTCTGAGATATTTTCCAACTCTGTGATTTTGTAAACCCACTGTTTTGGTTCAGGCAAGGCTCTCTCAAAGTGCACTGAATTTGGGCAATACACCATAAAATTTTAGGTTTAAATTAATGTCAGACATCTGGTTGTATTTCAGATTCTGTCAATCTTCCACCGCATGATGTTAATTCTATAGATTGGTCACACACCAAGCAGAGTAAACATATGATTTGTTATGGTATAAGATGATGTGTGAAACAATACCCCAGGGAGTAGGGACTACATATTGAAGCTGTGGCTATTACCATGACTGAAGCCAGAATCCTGGTTTATATCTTGTTTTTGTTTTGCTTTATTCAATTTTCCTAGAGACTGGTAGAAAAAAATATAACAACAAATAAGGAATTATCAAAACCACTCCCAGTTATTTTGTTCATCTGCAAGACAGGCTTGTTTGGCAAACCATGGTCAGAATGATGGGCTTAATCGTGTGATTGCAGTTAATGTAAGGCAATATAAGGTAATTCTGAATACATGCACATCTTTGCTTTATTTATTCCCCTGTTGCATGATCCAGTGATCAGCAGTAAAGTATGAGTACAGCCACAGTAGTTGAAGAGTAGGTCTGGCATAGACAACTACTTCTTTGTCCAAAGAACTAGACTGCTCCTCTGTTATTACTGGGGTATAGGAAGTGCTGCAATGATTTTTCACTTCACATTTCATTGCAGAGCTTTTAAAAAAGGAGAAGAGGGCTCTTAGAGGCATGCCAGTTATTTTAAGCTCAGAATGACCCATCTCAAACTGAAAACAGCAGTTCTGAGTCTGACATTGGTTGCTCTGACCTCAGAATAATGGGTATCCAATGTTATTCTGAACACTGAATCATGTCTGGTATGGTTGGATCAAGACAGGAATACCTGCACTAAGGTCAGAACAGCTGTTTGGAAAATTATGTATTTTGAGCTTGAAATGTTTTGCATATGCTAAGGGCAATTGCCGCAGGGACTCCACAAAAAAGGAGCCCATCAGAGGTATGGTGTTTGACATGATCAGGCAGAACAATATTTTTCAACCAAGGCAGCAAATTTAATCAGTTACAACACAAAGTATGAGTAATTTCAGTACTTCAAGTTTCCCCACATATTCCTGAGTCCTGAGTCATTGATTTAAAATGTGAGTAAAAAAATACATGGATGGCAGATGGAGGGTGAATAAAATGGGGTAGGAGTTCTCAAAAAGCATTCTGCCCACCAGCCTTTCAGAGTCTTAAAAATACTCTGTTCTACCATGATAATATAAGAATCCTCAAAATCAAATAGAGAAGCCTACAGCCTAGCTGCAGTCTACCTCATCTCCCACATTGCACAATGGCCTAAGAAGAAACTATGTCAGGTCTTTTCTAAGTTAGTTAGCAATTTTTATGCCTCCAGGTCCATGTAATGCGGCACAAAAGTCCTCATGCTACAGAGATAATTTTCCACCCTTTAACCACACAATGCCTTCCTGAGTTTTGCTGTATGCAGGAAATAACCCTTGCTGAAGGTTACAAGAAGCAAAAGGCCACCCTGTTCCCAGAAAGTGGCTTTAAAAAAAATTCCAGGAGCAACACTAGATAGTTTTAAAAAGAATCCTACATAAAGGCTGAAGGAAATATGGGGTGGTGGACTTTCACATTCCTACCTCCACACAGCAGGACCAGGCTTGGCCAGTAGTTACTGTCATATACAAAACTCAGAACAGCTACAAGTTATCTCTTACAAGGTCCTGCAGCTGATACTATAATCAGAAACAGATTAGTAGTTAGTGTGACTTTAATGACTATTCTTAACTAACTCTAAAACCCTATCTGAAAAGAGGGGAATACCGTATTTTTACTAGGAATCTGGTGTGAATTAGTAGACCTGAAAGTGCCTGTCTCACCCATAGAGAGGCTGGCTTCACGTGCCGTATTAAACCATTCTTTTAAAATTGTATTTTTGAATAAGCCACATTTGGCAGGGTTCACACATGATGGGAACCCAGAGGCTGTGATCTACAAACCACAGTTACTTGGTCACTATCTAAAGCTAAACAAACCTCATGAGGATTACTATGAATCAGTCCACTTTCTTCTTTATCAATTCAATTATTTTGCCTTTTCTTGCCATGGGAACTTTCAGTCATTCCCAAGCTGTAAGACCACAAACTTTTTTTTTTGTATGGCTGTCCCTTCCCATTCAGCTGTGAATTGTGGGACAGGGTTTCCCCATTGCTTTCATTTGTGCAAAAGTTTCATTTTGAAATTCTGATATGCAAATCTAAACAAAAGTGCAACCTGGAAGAAATCCCATCTTTCTCCAGCTCTCTCAAAAATCCTTTTAAGCACTGGGTATTTTGTCTCCAGCTTCGCAGAGCTTTGGATGGGTTCCAAAAACAATACTTTGTGGGAGCCTCTACAATTCTTTCAATCAGCTGCATCATTTTGGAGATCACACGGCTGTCCTCTGAAACTGCCCCACGATCCCTTGCAAAGGCTGGGAATTGAAATCCGAAGCATTGGACAGCTGTCATAATTACTCTCCTTTATCACGGGCATCGCTTTTAATGGGGAATACAGACTAATAGAAAATGGTGTTTTAAATCCTATTTTCAATTGGTGGACTAAGTACCCCTCACCAATGACAAAAGAAACATGAAGGAAACACCTTTCTTCCCCCATGCAATTGAATTCGCAAGATGCTAAGCTGAGGTGGGTCCTTCATGTCCATCGAATACTTAGAATTAGTCATCTCTAACTCACAAAGCATTCAGAGCTTCTGAGTAGCATTCATGGATTAACTTATTCATCATTAAGTTTGATACCTTTCCCAAAGCGAGTGGCTCCCAGTCCATTCCTAAGTGAGTGTAATAATAAGTTTTGAAATGCAACGTGATACCTTGTTTTAAAAAAGCAACAAACCCAAAATGCATATTATTTAAATTTATTTTTGACATTCTATTTGTGCACACCATGACTGTAAAAAATATAATTAAAATTACATTTTAGCATAATTTAAATAATTACATCAATAAATTATACATTCATTTTCATTTACACATTTAAGAGGCCACAATTCAGAAAAAGTCTATTTCCTGTATGGCATTTCTTTAAAGTGTAAGGTTGCAGGCAGGGACTTTTTTATATGCTGTTTTATAAAGTGTTCTGGGAATTTTTCTGGTTGAAGAATTAATAAAATATTAATTAAATAATATTTAATTAAATAAAAATATTTAATAAACACACACTTCAAATCCAGCAAACTTGATCATATACAAAAATGTATCAAATTTTCTCTGA